ACTGAATTTTACATTTCTAAAGATGTAAAAACTCAATAGAAAATATACATGACCATTCTGTCTACACAGATAACAGAATCTATGAATCTTGAAACTAAGTACATTAATTTCAAGAAGTATTGGTCATTTAAACAGAACCAACAAGTCAGATTGACAAGAACTGTTCAAATTCATTTGACCTGTAGATTCTGAGTCATGGTTTTTATTAAAGTCAGATCTATTCTTAAATACAAAATTTTTTGAAGATTTATTAAAACCGAATATTACAATGCAAGGTAAATTAAGACTAAAGGCACATAAACTTTGGTCCCACCTGGTCGTCAGTCTAAGACAACTGCCACAAAGTGAATCTTCCTGCAAGTTTTTTGCAGTACACTTTCTTTACCTCTGAAAAATACATGCACCATTTCCTGAACTAGCTAGACCAGTCTGCACATGCTCAGAAATCCACAACCATATTCCAAAATTAATTACAAGCAAAGGATGGCAATATATATTTAAATGGACATAAGTCAGGTCAACTTCAAAAACACCTATGAAAAATATTCAGCCACAAATAAGACATTACTTAGTGCTGACATTTATGTGATACGTCCCACCAGAGTGTGCACAAAAAGGTTAAGATCCCACAATGCTTTCCACATAGGGCTCAAACGTACAGAAATTACTTTGTTGTCTTAAGAAATTAGTACTCTGCATCTTGTTCATTTTAACTAACGCCTACATTCATTACTGAATCTAGACTAGAATTGTGAGATACAAAAGGCCAATGTTTTTTAAAGCAATAAAGTCTAAGGTAGTAATAATTAGAAATACTACTCTATTCTTTCAATACCATGTATCTTATTTGGTTATTAGCAAGAAATGTGATAAGCCAGTAATTCAAAATAAGTTCCAAGCAGGAGAAACAAAAACTTAACCTTTTGACACACCCCTGCATAAACATATTTTAATTCCTATATAACAATGTGCCCTAGACAACCAATTCCTTTTTTTCTAGTAAATACACAATAGCAACACTAGTTTTCCTTTTTAAGGCACGTATGTCAACTAAGTTATAAAAAAGCAATGATAATGGATTTTTTAAAAAAAAGAATGGCACTTTGAAATTCTTTGTCAAAATACTGGACAAGAGTGACAGGTGGTAATAATAGTGATAAAAATGTTCTACTTCATAATGATTCATATTGGGCTGATCTCGTAAACTCAGGGAATATATTCAAAATTGATGGAATAAAATTTTAGCTTATTCCATAACCACAGAACAAAGTTAGAGTTTTTCAAGAGTGCAATTCAAATAAAGCTTTGGTTTTAGTTGCATAAACAGGGACTTAAAATTCAAGAGCTTTGTTCTTACAGGGCCTCTAAGTTGATATGCTGCCAAGTTCAAAATGTTTCTTGTGTCTCCCAGGGCCTTTCTTACTTTATTTTACTTTCTTATAAATTAATTTTTCAACAAAACCATTCTGAAACATTTTGTTTTGTACAACATTCAAGCAGGTATGAAACACTAATTAATTTATATATTGCCATTTCTTGCTACAGATACAGTAAAGTCCATTCCTTTAAGCTTATTCAAGTATGTATTCTAGAAACAGTGATTTTTAAATTTCATGGATTATTCATAGAATTTTTAATTTTATTATTTCATTTTATTACTTTGAGTTTTTTGCCTTAGGACATGTGTGCTCACCAGAGAGAAAGAGACAGACAGAGATGGTGAGAGGGAAAGTGGGAAACCTTCCCCCAGTGGGTACAGCCATGCCACAATCCTTTCTCTTCCATTCTCTTCCTGGGATCTTGGGCACACATGTATACACACCCTGTGTGATTTTTAAAACACTGGATCTCGGACTTGAATCACAGTTTGCTATATGGGATTTTAGCATCATAACTGCTACACTGTCTGCTGGCCCCCATACCACTTTTTTGAAAGCAATTTTCAAATGATTAAATCAAATTGTGTACTTTTCTCTAATAAAGAAAACATATCTTGTGTAGTAGATAAACAGAGAGTAGAAGATGCTTAGTATTTGTAATTTTTAGCTGAAAATAAAATTAATGCATTTAACTAACACTTTAGAGATGGAGAGTGAGAAATCACCCTTAGGTAATTTTCCCAGGGGGAATGACCACACCACAATCCCTTGTCCTCAATTCTCTTCTTGGAGTTTTGGGCACGCATTCACCCATACGCAGAGAGTGATGTTCAAGCTGCCGGGTTACTAGACTAACCATAGTTGACCATGTGGGAGTCAAGTGCCTTAATCACTATGACACCTGATGGTCCCTTAATTCCATACGCAGAGAGTGATGTTCAAGCTGCCGGGTTACTAGACTAACCATAGTTGACCATGTGGGAGTCAATGCCTTAATCACTATGCCACCTGATGGCCCCTTAATTAACACTTCCTAAACTCTTGTTTCGTCTACTAATTTACTATTATTATGAGAGATACATATGTATGAAACACATAATCCACAGTTTTCTAACTGGTTACAGGAGGCATTTCAGTTCAAATTAATAGCATTTGTATCATAACCTCCTCAATTTTTAATTTTATCTTACATATATGTACTTTGAAGATATAAAAATATAACTCTTCTTACAGATAGATATTATTAGCCAACTCTATACATTTTATAGGTGTCTGAAAAGCCAGCTTATATGAATCTACTCTGTAGAATAGAAAAAGACCTAATGATGGGAGGCCAATTACCTGAGCATTTGCTGAGGCATGGGAAAGAATAAGCAGTTGTTTCTTTTCTACAGTAACTGGTTGTAATATGTAAGAGAATTCCTCAGTTGAAGACCCTTAGTTTCCTATGTTTTCTGAGCCATTACTTCAGAGTACACAAGGAGGTGAGAGATAGGCATTGTTTACCACTAGTGTTTTTTTTTAATAACTCATATGCAATTTACAGCTTCACATATGTCTGCTTCAGAATTTATATTACCGGGAACCAGCAGTTGGTGTAATTGCTATGTCGCTGGACTCCCACGTAGTCGACTGCGGTTCGCGTCCTGGACCTGGTGGCTTAAACTCACGCCGGGCGCATGTGTGTACGTGCCCAAGATCCCGAGAGGAGAATGGAGGAGAAGGGATTGCGGTGTGATCATCCCCCCGGGGGATGATTTCTCGCTTTCTGTCTCTATGTCTCTCTCTGTCTATCTGGCAAGTGCAAGTGCCCTATAGCGAAAACCTCTCCAAAAAAAAGAAAAGAATTTATATTACCTATGCCTGATATTCTCCATAGTGATTTACAGCAATTTACCCAATACTTTGGTATTAAACTCATACTAGTCTCACAAACTTAAAAATAAACTCAATAATAAATATAAATGAAAATAATATTCATCTTAATATGATATAATCATATTTTCTTATGTATATGTTAGCTATGTAGAAAACGTGCTTTGTCTATGAGTGATTAAAAATAATAACATAATTTGCAATATTATGTATTTAAGAACTGTGGTGTTGCCTATATTGAAGTATTGTTTTAACTCGTAATGATTGTGTTGGTAAAGAAATTTCCGTGTAACAAATGGTGGTGGTCTGGAAAAAACACGTCTTTCTAGTCATTACTTTTCTAGGAAACAGGAGACTTTTGGGACCACAAATTGGAACCAAGGACACCACTAGATCCCAAGTAAAACCTTTATGTCCACTTGGCCTTAACATAGTGGTTAAACGATGTGTAAGAGGGATGCCCAGAACAGTTAGGTGTTGAGGTCGCAACTTCCAGAAAACATCTGGATCCTGAGCTGGAAGAAAAACGGGAATATGTCACCTAAAGTTGTCATCGGTGGTCATTATCCCAGATTTGACTGACATATATTAAAACAGGACCAATGCTCCTCTCAGAAACAGTATAAAACGCTGAAAATCTAAACAGAGAACAACTTCATAGAAGGGACGAACTTGAGAGTTGACAGTGTCCTGCTTGCTAGAGACTATTTCTCCTTGTGTTTATTCTTCCAGGAATTGCATAGCTTGATTGCTGCTTGTTTGCTTTTTAGAGGGATACAGATGACAATGATGATAATGATCATGATAATCATAGAAACAGTGAGGGTGAGAGAGATTTAATTATGAACCTCCATGTCTTAATATTTGCTTTAAAGATTTACTTTTAAAAAGTACAAAAATACAGGGACCAGCAGATGACATAATGGTTACAACTCTGGACTGCAACATACTCAACCCTGTTCAAGTCCTGGATCTGGTGGCTTAAAACTCACACCAGGCACATGGGCGTGCATACCCTAAATCCCAGAAGGAGAATGGAGGATAAGGGATTGTGGCATGGCTATTCCCCTGAGGGGGGGATTTATCCCTTTCTGTCTCTCTGTCTCTCTCTGTCTTTCTGGTGAGCACATGCACCCTATAGCAAAAAACTCTCAAAAACAAACAAACAAAAAAACAAATAAAATTTCATCACTGTAGCATTATGTGGCATACTATCTAACAGATATTCCATTGTGAAAATTGAAATAATGTACACAGTCAAATAATGTTTTGCCATGGAAATGCATATGATATTATCTAAATAAAGGAAATAGATAAAAATATTACCTCATATAATTTCTAATTAATCATATAACAAAAATATAAAAAGAGTAAATAATGGAAAATGACACATAAATTATTAACAATGATCACATTATGGATCCACATTTGTCTGAAGTTCCCCAAAAGAAATAATACAGATAAAAAGAATGATAAGAAATCATGATAAATATTGCAACCATTGAATATGTGTGAAGTAAATGCAAGAGTATTTTTGATAACTCTTGATACCCATATAAAAGCTTGAATTCTTCACAATACAAAACTAAAAACACAAAGAAAAAAAAAGCCAAAAAGAGTTCTATCAAGTGGGGATAAGTATACAAGCTTTCTCTCCTCATACTTTGAGATAAATAATTCCAGTTTTCTTTGACTCTCCAGTTATGACCTATCACACTTCACTCTTTAACTAACCATCATTAAAGAATGGGAGAAAACCAATCATGGGTCACAGAAATCATCCTGATGGGATTCCAGCTCAGTGCAGAGAAGGAAGTGCTCCTCTTCTGGGTCTTCTCCCTCTTATACATCTGCAGTCTGCTGGCAAACGGCATCATCCTGGGACTCATTTGGTTGGACTCACGATTACACACCCCCATGTACTTCTTCCTCTCACACCTGGCCATCATCGACATATCCTATTCCTCTAGCAATTTATCCCATATGCTGAAAAACCTAGTGCAACATAAAAAAATGATCTCCTTTGTTTCGTGCATTATCCAGATGACTTTGTGTTTGACCGTTGCCTCTACAGAGTGCATGATACTGGTGGTGATGTCCTATGACAGGTATGTGGCCATCTGCCACCCTCTCCAGTACACCATCATCATGAGCTGGAGAAGGTGCACAGTCCTTGCTGTCATTTCATGGGTATGTGGATTTTTTGTGGTCTTGATACAACTCATTCTCTTTCTACGGCTGCCCTTCTGTGGACCCCAGGAGGTGAACAACTACTTCTGTGAAATTTTATCTGTCCTTAAACTGGCCTGTGCTGACACCTATGTCAATGAAACTTTTCTCTTTGCTGGTGGTGTGTTTGTCTTAGTTGGACCCCTTTCACTGATGCTCGTCTCATACTTGAGCATCCTCTGGACCATCCTGAAGAGCCAGTCAAATGAGGGTCGCAAAAAAGCATTTTCTACCTGCTCCTCCCACCTCTGTGTGGTTGGGCTCTACTTTGGTATAGCAATAGTAATTTACTTGGTACCAGACAATAATCAAAGACAAGAGCAGCAGAAAATTCTTAACCTGTTTTACAGCCTCTTCAATCCATTGCTGAACCCCCTCATCTACAGTCTGCGGAACGCTCAGGTGAAGAGAGCCTTCTACAGGGTATGGAGACAAAACAGGGCCATGTGAATGACGCAACATTCTGGTTCAGTGGATGTTTTGTCTTGTGAGATGTAGTTTTCTTAGGTTCACTTAACCTAAGTAAAAGTGTAGAAGAAGCTTGATATAAGAATTATGTAAATTCTAACCCCCGAAATGGGAACAAATTCTGTATATAGGCATATCCTCTCAGATGGAGTAGCATGTAAGAATATGGAACATTACAATATCTAATTTTTTGTGGAAAGTAATGACCTTGAGTTTCAGAATAAGAAATATGACTTATGGAAATAAAATACATGTTTTAAATATCAGAAAATTACCTCAACCCATTACTCTGGCTGGTCAGCTTAGACATAAGCTACTATCAACACTGGGCGGCAGGTGAAAAAGGTGGATTAAAATTAAGCACAGAAAAAAAAAACTTTCAAGGGTACAGACACTAATGCAGAGTGATGTGTTCTACCTCACTGATTGTGAGAAAAATTAAATGAATGCCTGAGAAACTCTAAGTTTCCTTTTGAAAAAGTTCAGGAGTAAAAGTGTCATGTTGGGAAAGTCATGACACTTTTTTGCATAGAAAAATAGGTCATGACTTGCCTGACAACCTAATAGTTGTGGACAGTTTAAGCTACCCTAAATAAATATGTATACATAACCCTAAAATATATTTCAAGCTGTGTGGCATGGCCAAGTGAACGAAATCATTTGAAAATGTTTAAGTAGGGGCCAGCACATGGGTAGTGGTTATGTCACTGTCCTCCCACATGGTCGACAGTGGTTCAAGTGCCAGACCCGTGACTTAAAAATCACACTGGGTGCCTGCGTGTGTGTGCCCAGGATCCTGGGAGGAAAATGGAGGAGAAGGGATTGTGACATGGCCATCCCCCCAGAAGGTGATTTCTCACTTTCCCTCTCACTGTCTCTGTCTCTTTTTCTCTCTCTTTCTCTCTTCTCCAGGAGCACATGTGCCTTAAGGCAAAAATCTCTTAAAAAGGAAAAGAAAATGTTTAAGTAATCCCAGAGGCAAAGGTTGAAGCATTGCTGTAATTTTATACTTATCTGTAGATTATGGTAGCTACAATATGGCAATATTATGTCACCTCTGGGATAAATTTTTTTACAGCCTCTAGGGTAAATTTTTTTCTGCCAATATTTTGAATGCTTGAATTAATGTGTCTTCAGATACTTTGTGATGACACCAGAGCTATGACACAGTTCTCATACCACAAACACCAGCTACCTTTCATCAAAGCAAAATGTGCTCTGAGTTTATCATCCAGATTGAGAAACACTCATGCTAAAGCATAGTAAAATCCATAAAGGTTCATTTCTATAGTCATCAGTTAAAGAATTTCCTTTATTTTTGAAAGCACCTTCTCATTATGGAGCTTAATTTTAGCAACTGATATTTCATTTAGTGCTCAGTTATCTCAAGAGTCACTAATTTCCTTTTGGTTTCAAGTAATTATTTTTTAACATGGAAAGTTTTATTAAATCATGCTTCCTGGGGCCAGCAGGTGGCACGGTGGTTAAGGGCACTGGACTCCCACATGGCCAACTGCCATTGGGGTCTGGATCTGGTGTCTTGCTTTCTCACTTTCCCTTACTCTCTCTCTCTCTCTGGTCAAATTAAAATAAGTAAATACATAAATAAAGTTAAATAAAATAATTCATAAGTAAATCATGCTTCCCTTTCTAACAAATAAATATGACAATGATTGGAATTCTTTCACAAGTATTATGCCAATCCAGTCCTTTTTACAGTAGAAATCATTTTGGTTTTGATTACTAGGAAGAGTAAATAGATATGTGCAGATAAGATTGAGCCAAGAAACAATTTCTCATCTTTCTTGTGAAAGATTTGCAACACCAAACAAGAAACAGAATAGAAGATTTTAAACCATGCTACCCACAGTAAAGTATATCATTGTTGTGTGCCAAGCATGTCTAAGATGAAAGCAGGAGCATCTGTTGACTAGGAATAAAAGTGTGTAATATTTTTCTCCTTTTTAAAAATTTTCTCTCTTTTTTTTATTCAATCACTCTATGCTTTTATAGCATATAAAATGAATTTTCCCAGCATGAATACACCATATATTAGTCTGTCTAAAGGTACGACTATACACATTATCACTGACAGATAATTTTCCATTTTTGTGTCTGTTAATGTTTTGTTTATTTTTCCCCCTGATTTCCTTCTTCCCATCCCCTCTCATTGTCCACCCTCCTCCCACACTGTCTCTTGCATCCACAGTTACTCTCCCTGCTTTTAGACTTTCTGATTTTTGTTTCTGCCACAGAGTGAAGATATATATTAAGCAGAGACATACAGTGCCTCTCTTTCATAGTCTGACTTGCTGTACTAAGCATTAAATCCTCCACATTAATCCACCTTTACTCAAATGCCAGGGTCTCATTGTTTTACATGGCTGAGTAGTATTCTGTAGTGCGTATGTGCCACATTTTTCCATCTATTCATTTGTTTTTGGACTTTTGGGTTGATTTCATATCTTACCAATTGTGAATAATGCTGCAATAAACATGGATGTGAAAATGATTTTCTTACTGAGTGTATTCCTATCCTTTGGATAGATACCCAGGAGTGGGATTTCTGGATCATATAATAGTTCTGTCTGTAGGTCTTTGAAGAACAACCATGTTGTTCTCCATGGTGTCTTGACTAATTTTCATTCATACCAACACTTTTCCTTTTCACCACAGTTTCACCAGATCTTATCATTCTTTACTTTTTTAATCTTAGCCATTCTGACTAAGGTCGTATCTCATTGTGGTTTTGATTTGCATCTCCCTTATAAGGGATGTTGAGTATTTGTTCATATGCTTTTTGACTGTTCAGATGTCTTTTCATTTCCTCATCTTTTATCTTTTTTCATCTTTTATCTTTTTTTTTTTTTTTGGAGAGACTTTTGCTATAGGGCATGTGCACCCACCAGAAAGACAGCGAGAGACAAAGAGACAGAGTCATATATCTAAACTTTTAATTGGATTGAATATTTTTTATGGGTTAGTTGCATGAGTTCCCTGTATCATTAGTGTAGTTATCTTTCCACTTCATGAAGTGTAGCACCTGTTTTCAGTTGATAGGATTTTTGTTTTGTTTGAGAGAGACATTTTTACTATGAGACATGTGCACTCACTGGAGAGACAGAGAAACAGAGAGACAGAAAGCAAGAAATCACCCCCCCCCCGCAGGGAGGATGGCCATGCTGAAATCCCTTCTCCTCCATTCTCTTCCCAGGATCTTGGGCACGCATGCACACACACCTGGCATAAGTTTTAAGCCACTGGGTACAGGACTGGAACCATGGTCAATGACGTGGCAGTCCAGCAACCTAATCATTATGACATCTGCTGATCCCCAGTTGATAGTTTTATCAGACTATTCCCTGCTTTTGAAACTTAGAAACTATGCATCTATTTTACAGGCAACAAATGAAAACTAAAATAAATTGAATTTCATCGCAATTTTTAAGAAGGGAATTCTTATGTAAGAGTGACAAACCTGTTCTAAGTAAAATGTTTGAAATAACCTGTGGTGATCACTGTACAACATCGCAAATGTAATTGACATCACTGAATTATTGAAATAAATGGCTGGCTAAAATAGTAAATTTAATGATCTATATTTTATCATGACTAAAAAAAATGTAGAAATGCTGTCAGAGGGCTGAAATATGTGGAGAATTTGATATGCTGCTGCCAGTTTCAAGAAAAATGGAGAGGGTATATAAGCTTCCTCTGAGCTTATTTAGAAAAAATAACTTCAATTATTTTTGACTCTCCAGCTCTGACTTTTTTTTATCACACTTTAATTTTTGACAGATTGTCATTAAGCTCTGAGCTTATTTAGAAAAAATAACTTCAATCTTTGACAGATTGTCCATTAAGGAATGGGAGAAAAACAATCATGGGTCACAGAATTCTTCCTGGTGGGATGTCAGCTCAGTGCAGAGGTGGAACTTATTTTCTTCTGGGTCTTCTCCCTCTTAGACATTTTCAGACGGCTTTCAGATGGCATCATCCTGGGACTCATTTGGCAAGAGCCTCAACTGCACACCCCCATGTACTTTTTCCTCTCACACCTGGCCATCATCGACATATCCTGTGCTTCAAGTAGTATACCTAACATACTGAGAAATCTAGTGTAACACAAAAACAAAACAAAACAAACAAAAAAACTATCTCCTTTGTCTCGTGCATTGTGCAGATGACCTTGTGTTTGACCATTGCTTCCACAGAGTGCATGATATTGGTGGTGATATCCTACGACAGGTATGTGGCCATCTGCCACCCTCTCCAGTACATCATCATCATGAACTGGAGAAGGTGCACAGTCCTTGCTGTCACTTCCTGGGCATGTGGATTTTCCCTGGTCCTATTACATCTAATTCTCTTTCTAAAACTGCCCTCTGTGGACCCCAGGAGGTGAACCACTTCTTCTGTCAAACCTTATCTGTCCTCAAACTGGCCTATCCCAATCACCTGGGTCAATACAATTATTCTCTGTGCTATTGGTGTGCTGGTTTTAGCTGGACCCCTTTCCTTGGTGCTCATCTACAACAGAAGTATCTTCTGCCCCATTTTGACGAGCCAGTCAAAAAGGGCCAAAAGAAACCCTTTTCCACCTGCTCCTCCCATCTGTGTGTGGTTGGACTCTACTTTGGCATAGCTATGATGATTTACACAGTCAACAAGGAGAGCAGCAGAAAATTCTTACCCTGTTTTATAGCCTTTCAACCCATTGCTGTGACCTGTCATCTACTGTCTGAGGAATGCTCAGGTGAAGGGTGACTTCTACAGGGTATTGCAGCAAAAGAGGGCAGCATCTTGGTTCAATAGATTTTTCATGTTGTAAGATGTGGTTTGCTATTTCAATGAACACAAGAAAAACCTAATAAGAAGCTTGATTTTAAAATGAGAATTATCTTAATACTTGTCCCCCAAATGGGAACAAACTTCATAGATACTCATATCCTGTTAGATTCGGTAATGTGTAAGAATATGGA